GGAGTATCAGACGACTACGTGGACTTATCGTATCTTCATACAGCTATACCACACTTGTGCACACACAGTTCCATTTAAGGCAAGAAAATTATACCGTTGCTAAATATATCTACATACTATATATACTTGACGTGGCCTAACAGGCACAATGTGCCGCATATAGAGACCATGAGAAGCAATTGGAGAGGAATTTGTGGGCAAACTTTGCTTGTAAGCAACACCCTCACCATTTATATGATGTGTTTGCACACAAAATTACATTGACAAAAGTATAAGTGTGCAGTATTAAGTGACTCCTTAACCAACATTTTCCGTTACGGCAAGCATTAAGGAGACACAAATGGCCTACACTGTCTAAACTGGGATTGATTGGCTGTCTTGGAATGTGCGGTGGCGCGATGTGACACGCATGGCAACTGTGTACTTACCTCAATAGATTTGGGGTTTGATGGTATGTCCCTATTAGCAATAGCCACCATTGTACTCTATGGAACATGCATTCCAGCTACAGACTACTGGTCGTCCAGGGTTGTGCTGGTACGTAGTCCAGTTTGTGCAGGATTTCTGAAAGGATTGTTAACCCCTTTGCACACACTCCAGAATGCAATGAAAGATACAGCGATGGATGGTTAGTGCACATGACCTGCTGCCGAGGGTGCAATTTCTTACGTGGATCCATTTGCGGTATTCAATCGTGTCTGAGCATTCAACTGAATTTTTTTCAAAACACAGAGGTTCACGTGAACCCTCCCCCTCCTCTCGGGAAGGGCCAAATGCAGCCCCTTAATCGATTCTGGTATCCCTGCACTGCTGTGCTCTCTGACACTTTGAATACTAGTGGAAGTAGTATTGCGAAATGGACAAATGCTGTCAATCTGTCTACGTATGTATGATTAAGGTTATCTTGCGCAGATTACGTTCCTTTGCTGTTATAAAGCTTCCACAAAGTAAAATCTTGGCCATCCCTTCCTCTATTACATGTTTGCAAGCCTGGTCAAAGTGTCACATACGTACGTACGTAAGAGTTTCAATGTAGCCAGTACTCATCGCTACACTTGTTTTGAACAACAACGATACTTCCTCCTGCTTAACAAAAGCTTATTTCGTAGTTTTTTGTTAAACTTTCACTTTCCCCCTGGCCCTGGGTGGCCACAAAGAGAGCCTCGTACACACACACACACACCCAAGACTGCTGGAGTCGCCTACTCACTAGTGGAAGAAGACCTACAAGGGATGCACAGATGCACGCATCGAGTCTTCAACCAATTTACTACTTTCCCTCTCCCTCCCCCGTGCATGGCTTGGCAAACCCTTAAACCACAGGAAAACATACACTGACCTGTAAGCCTCTACGTACATCTACAAGTGCTCTGTGAGCATTTTGAGCTGAGGTGCTAGTGCCTATGAGCCCAGCCTGCAGAGTTGCCCTGGTATATAGCTCAGTGGTAGAGCACCCAGCCTAGAGAACAGTGTGTGGTGGATTTTGATTCCCACTAAGGGCAGCTCTTTCTAATCGAAACCCACGACACACTGTTCTCTAGGCTGGGTGCTCTACCACTGAGCTATATACCAGGGCAACTCTGCAGGCTGGGCTCATAGCACCTCAGCTCAAAATGCTCATTGTAGATGTACGTACAGGCTTACAGGCCAGTGTAGGTTTTCTTAAAAAGTATTGTCTTGGGTGTCGTTGAATTGGTTGATATGCACTTCCCTTGTGTTTACACCCCGTGATTCATACATATTGAAAGGAGAGATTCTGGTAGTTCATTGGTTCCCAGGATCTCCTCGACATGTAGGGGTGCATTATTTACTACAGTCTCGTAATCTGAACAAGGTACACATAAAAACAGGAACATTATTCCCACAATATTTCAAACAACCTACGTACGAACCTTCCAATGCAAGTTATACCGTGCCATTCAATCTGAGGAAGAAATTCTAGTAATCAGGAGTCTTCGTCTGATATTGAATCTGGAGAAATGTTGGTACGTAGGTGTTTCATAGCCCGGATGGTGAGGTAGAGACTAATAAACCATTTTGTCAATTTCTGGCCCGCCTCCAGTGTTTGGTTAATGATACGTATGTGAGACTACTTATTACTGTATTTAATGCTCGAAGTGTTGTTTGATTGTGATGCCAACAATTGCAAAGGGGGATATGATCAACTATATGCAACGGACATTTTTGCACACTAATCATAGGCTGAAGAAGGCCATATGCTCTTTGAGTTGTAAAGTGGTCTTCAAAGCATCCTACTACATAGGTTGCCATGTACGTACGCTCTACACTAATAATGATCCTGCTAGCGCCGCCATTATCATAAAATTGATCTAATCAGAACGTTCATGAAGACACTGAGGAAAAGTAACCACAAGACTTGCCGCTCAGTAATTGGAGCACAAGGTAGGATTGAAGTACAAAAGGCCCAAATTAGCCATCACTTGCAAGTGATTAGTGCACACAAATCCACATTTTCCACAAGTCCAAGTTTCCTGATAGAGTGTAGCACAGTGGTTTGAGGTTTTCCTCTGTCATGTGTCGTATTGTGTTGTAGATTTGAACCCCTATCTCCTGAGTTGCACGGTAGCTCAGCTGGTAGAGCACTCGCCTAGAGAGCAGAGTGTTGTGGGTTCGAATCCCACCCAGGGCAGCTCTTTTAAAAGAAAAATATTTGTCCTACGTAGGTGTAGTTGTGTTGTTCGCATTTAATACGTATGTCTTGACCTCGTTCATGCATGACACATGTATTGACAGTCATACAAACATGTCCATGAGATTCTCTCAGTCTGAGCTAGCACACGCTAACAGACCGAAGTCAGCAAACTGACACTTGACCACGCGGTCGCTTCGTACGCACGCGTGTGGCCCATAGCACGTGCGCATGCGCATGGTTCGTCCTCGATGCGCCCCAGCGCCATGGGTCTGTCTCTCCTTGTTAACTATGTTTAACCTACATACAAATATGTCCACGAGATTCTCTCAAGCAAAATGCACATGGTCTTTACATTGAATGACAGTGGATTAAGAGTTCTTTCCAACAGTATTGGTGCCCTAAATGTCTATGTGTCCTACATACAGAACATAAGTACGTATGCATGTATTCACTGTTTGTCCATATTTCAACCCCATGGGACGTTATACGATATTAATCACTAATGTCTGAAAAATTTCATGAAATTTACCCAGTTATACACACGATGTCATAATTCCTACACACAACACACCCAAAGGGTGTACATTCTATGATCGGTACATAGTGCATATGAACCGTACGTAGTGCACATGAAATCAATACCTGGCCCACTTTGTTAGCACAATTACGGGTGTTCTGGGTGTCGCTATTCGAGGCACGCAATTTCGATGAGAAAATCACTCATTCGGGAATGGTGTCTCTTTATACACACGCCACTCCTCTCTCACCTCACCCCCCACATACAGTCTGGTATCTGCTGAGCATGCTCTTACACACGGTATTATATCAAGCCCAAGTGCTACGTGCGTACGTACGTGACCAAGTGGAGTAGTGGTATAATTGCAAGGTCATTAGGTCAAGTGTCACTGGGCGTAGATGGGGACAGATTTTGTCTCTGGGGTGAAATTCGAGAATAACACGATACTTTGGAATGCGAGTTAGCAGACAAGTGTAAGTGAAAGACAATTGATGGCTTAATCACATGGGATACTAGGGATTTTTAAATTCATGGGTGCAGCGGAAGGGACTTTGTGCACTATCCTTGTTTTTTACAGCAAAAGATGTCTGCCAGTCTCCCGTAATGACTAACATAATCGTAGTATGTAGTAGAATAACATACACTATGATGATACCAATGATACAAGCTAAGGAGATGCCGAGTTAGCATGAAACTGATCTATTGAGGTGTTTAGCTCTTACTGAATGTGTTTTTGAGCTCAGGTCAGCAGTAAAAGAGTCACTACAGCCTGCCCATACCACATTCTAATCCCTCTAATCCACCAATGAAGTCAGTGAGGCTCTGGGGTTGAATTCCGTAACTGTTCTTGAGGAAAGATAAAATGTGCCCTTATTAGACTCTACGGTTTTGCAAAACCTTAATTGCTGTGAGACGGGAAGACCTTAGAATCAAACCAATACTCAACAGAGATGCTGATCTAAGGAAATTCGAGAGATGGGATGGAAATGAATTGACCCACATCATGACATGTGAGTGTCTGTTACACAGGGATTCCCACTATCCTGAGTTTCTTTTTCCATGTGAAACAGCTTGTCCACTAATGCCACATTTAAAGCCGTTTGGCAGGCTCGGGTGAAAACCTTTAGTTCACACTCTAGTTTAGTAGTTTCTACATACACGAAGATGATTGGTGAGCAAAGCAAACACACCTAATGGGTGTTGGGACACATACTACTGTACTGCACATACCATTATGTTCTAAATACGCGCGAAAAAACGCCATTCTCACAATACGCGTGAAATGTTTTAACTGGTTGTGTTAGCTCACCAAAAATGCGTTGCATTCACAATAATGCTGTGTATACAGTTCAATTATAGTCCCGAGCTTGGTTACAAATGCAAACCCATACATATGTTCCGCTCAGAGATTTTTACCACAAACTGAAGGGTCGGGTTATTATGCAATGTGTAGTCGGGTCAGGTGATTTGTTTGGTGGACGATTGAGGATGTAGTGGTTTGCTGGCTAGTCCCAGCACTCACCAGCAACAGCTGGTGAGAAGCCAACGCGTTTGAGAACAGGAGACGTACACATATGCAAAATAGCCAATGGACAATGGTAGTCAACGTACATATATGCACATTCAAAACAGCCAATGCAGACAATGTATAATACATACACATGTGCACATTCAAAATGGGCAATGGTGTATATACATAGTCAACATACGCACATGCACATTGGTATACATTAGTACGCACATGCGCATTTAAAACAGCCGATGGAGACATGTGCACATTCAATGCCATGTGTAAGCTATGCACAGCAGATCCCCAGAAAAATGCATACTTGGAGAGCCTCCTAGTCAACCTTTCAGTCACGCAATGTGCAGACTGCAATTTTCTTACTTCATAAAAGTGCTCTTATAAGAGTGATTCACATATTGGAACCCTTTAGTCTATGTACGTACGTATAGTTTAACAAAACAGATTTCCACTCAATTGATCATGACTTTGTAAACCTAGTATTATACGTACTTGGGGGCATAATACGTGCATATACGTCTAATCTGGATACCAATGGGACAGAAGAAAGTGTGTATCCATATTCATAGTAGACAACAAGTACTCTACTGCACTTGTATCACACAGAGCAGTTCAATGGTCGAAATAATTATATGAACATGCTTGCATTTGCTTGTCAAAAATGCGTCATGTAAAATGTAACAGGTTTCTTCTATTTTCCACTGACCTGTGGTGATTACTGCACATACCGAGAGAATGTAACAAATGATGTACATCTCTGCAGCAGTTGTAACCTGTGTAGCAAACAGTAATGGTATTGTGCTCGGTGATGCAATATAAGTTTATTTGAGTAGGGACAACCCAATTCAATATCACTAGAAGGATTAACAACTGTTGTTATGCCAACCCTCATGCGACACGTGTGACACTGGCAAGAGATACGAATGCCGTGGAGCATATAATCGTTCTATTACGTAATGGAGTAACGGACGAACTAGGGCACCTATATAATTATGTGCACGGGTGAAAATTACACACTGTGACTACTAATGATGATATAGACACTGTCGCATTTGGCAACAATTTTCTATCACGTAACGGATTACTAGGGACCGCAACAATCTCTTGAACTATTTGTGAGTTGATTTTGGTAGAGACCAACCAATCAAGACTGCTAGATGAATTAGCAAGGGAGGGACATGTCAACCAACCATATTCATACCTTGACTATAGGGTAGGGCAAATGCGTAGGGTGGCCTAAACCCCTTTTGTAATTTTAGCTAGCAAGTGGAGGGAGGACAAACCAAGCATCCTGAATAGCTTGACAATACCTGGAAAGTGCAGTGTCAATAATCCTCAGGAGTGTAGCTATCATAGAAGAAAATATTGGGTGGCCTAAACCTTTCCTAGCAAGTGAGGGGAAGGATGGAAGACAAGCCAACCAGCCTGAATACCACTGGAAAGTGTTGTGATACCAAAGTGCTGAATCCCCTCATGAGTAACGTTTGGTGAGAGTACGGGGGAAGGAGAATTCATACACCAAAACCATCCTGAAAGGATATACCAACCAACCATCCTGAATGCCTTGACCCTATAGTGCAATGCCAGGGCTTGAGCAAATTACCCCCACCTGAGCATGGTTTTTCTAAAAGTAGTTCTTCCTACCATACAGCAAACGAGTGTAGTTTTTTACAAACACTTTGAACATACACAGACTGAAGCTCTTTTGGTATAGTAGATGAAAACAGTCTCAAACACTAAGTCAAGGAGACCAAACAGATGAAAAACGTTGCGCCCAGACTGTGAGAGGTGGTCTTTGCTGAGAAAGTAGATTGAGAAAGCTGGGAAGGGAAGAGATAAGAAGAAAACAGAAGTGATAAATATACAACTTGAGTATTAATCCCTTCTTTATGACATGTACAGTGAGAAAATAATTTTGTCTGGGATCGAACAAACTCAGGCCTGTCCACTAACACTGAGCTATGTATGTTTACAGCTTGAGCAAAACTTTTTCCGTGGACATTTTTAGCAGTACATGAAACTAGTGATCAGCATTTTTTATTTATGACAGAGCTTCCAAATTATGGATCCAATTTAGGAAATTCGTATACAATTTGCAGGCTAAAATCTAGAGGAGAAAAGGCATGGCAAGTATATATTACCACAAACGATGTGTAAGTGCGCAATACAAAACACATTACACGAACTATGGAAAAATTTGCCGACTATGTATGAGTAACGTATGAAGTTCAATTGTAGCTATGACTTACCAAGTGACAGTAAAGAAAGTAGAATGGAACACACCATCAACTTGTAGATGGGTAGCGGACAGTACATGACGTAATAGTCGTATCTGTAAGAGAGGGAAACAGCTGCTGGTAAGCTCAGAGGGAGGTTGTGACTGTCACATGTTCCTCACATGCTCATGACCCATAACTGAGGTGCCATCAGGAGCACTCCCAGTATAACCATCACAACCCTGAGTGAACAAAGAGGATATCCTTGTTAGCTGGAAAAATCTTCTGTTGTGCTCCTACAAGGCTTCGTTAGCTGAAACAATCCTCCTATGAGGGGTGGGAAGCCCCGAAAACCATTTAACCAGATCGGACTTCCATAAACACTAGAACAAATTCGTGAGTCACAGGCAAGAATGTGCAGTAACATTGCAGTTTATTACTGTACATTCTGGTAAGGGTGGCAGCCTTGGCTACAACATAGGCTAGCTGCACTTACACCAACAGCTTTATTCTCTTCAAGAGGTAGAAAGTGCTGTGGTAGATGATATGTGGCCACAGATAATGCCACATCTCAACTTTTTACTCTTCAATTCACCTTCATCACCCCCTGTCACAAAAATATTACTCATAAATATTTTGTAGCTATTATACTTGCTGATGAATTGAGATGGCTTCCTACAAGACCTACAAGTTTTTGTTTCTTTGGACAATGAGCCATAATGATTTCAACAAGAAACGTTTGTACAAGAATACCACGCACCACGTGTGTGATTGTTCGGTACAAACACACGCACTAGCTTTCTTGCCACTCAGATCTGCTTGAAGCTTGAACCCTTTGCTCTGAACCCAGCTGAGCCACGCCCACTTATCACAGCTGACTCAGCTGCGCACGCGCAGTGGGTCTGCCCCTTTCGTCGACGTCCATTAGAGAGAAGATGGCGGAGGATTACGAGAGAATAAGTCTTGTAAAGCCGGAGGTTTTCATCTACCAGATACCTCCCAGAGCCTCCAACCGAGCCGTGAGGTAAGCAAACACTCTACGCGGCAATTTAGCTACGTGGGTATATACGGTGGGCCAGTAATAAACTTATAACACCTTCATGTTTCTGTGTACGTTAGAGTTCCCACTCTTCTCCTAGCGTGTATGAAGCTCTCTGGTTCTGTTTCAGGGCGGCAGACTGGAACCTGGAGTCTCCAGACTGGAAGGGACGACTGAGGGTCGTCTCAATGGGAGAGAAATGTCTTGTAAAACTCGAGGACAAGATCTCTGGTAAGGGAATCTATGGGGTAACACACATTTACAAATGCACAATGGATATGAGACGAAAGCGTGTGTTGACATGTATGTGTGTCGTGAGTGTGTGGTAATCTTCAGGTGAGCTGTTTGCGGTGTGTCCTGTGGACAATTTCCCTGGCATTGCAGTCGAGCCCGTCTCAGACTCAAGTCGATACTTTTTGCTGCGACTGCAAGACCCTTCAGGTTACTCCTCTCTCCTCCCTCCTTCTATCTCTTCTTCCACTGTCATTCTTCCCCTTCTCTATCCACCCCAGTGTTCATCTCTCTCTCTCTCACCCCCTCCTCTCTCTTAACTCCCACCTATGCTCCTCCCTTCCCCTCATCTTCTCGTTCCTGTGTCTCTCCGCTCTCCTTAAACATTCCCCGCTTCTCTCCCACACTTTTCTGTTTGCTCACTCTGCAGGTCAAAATGCGTTTGTTGGTCTTGGATTTGAAGACAGAGGAGACGCCTTTGACTTCAATGTATCTCTACAAGACCACTTCAAGTCAGTTTGTGAGGAGCAAATATCAACACTGTCCAACCGTGTAGTATGGCCACAAAATGTTGTGCATTTTGGGCTTCGGTGATGTGTAGGCATGTGCAATATTACAATTCACTATTTAAAGCATGCACCTGCAATCATGCATGGTTGGTGCACAAAACAAAATGCGACGAACAGTAACTATAAGGGAAAGTAGTTTAAAATGGAGAGTAATTAAAGAAAAACAATCATTGATTTGTGATTGAGCTGTTGAATGGGGATTGCTCCTTGAAGGGCTTTCTGTCTATAATAGGGGACAGTATTAATGAGAGGGAGATTAGAAAGTTTAAAGAGGGGCTAAATAGCAAAGTAAAGCTGTTATTGTATAAGACATTTAACAAGGTGGTAGAGTTCAAAAAGTACTTGCATGGGAAAAGTGATGCTGGGTCTAGATTAATGTTTAAGTTCAGGTCAGGCACGCATGGGCTAAATGAGGAACTGGGTAGGCATAGGGGGAGGGAGGGGGTGAAGGAGTGCCTGTTGTGTGATGATGAGTGTGAAAGTGTGAGTCATGTGTTGTGGGAGTGTCCAGCATATAGTAGTCTTAGGAGCAATTTCTTAGTTGCCCTGCAGGGGAAGCTTGGGGATGATGGGTTTGAGCATTTCCAGTCGCTTGATAGTTTCAGGAAAGCATCCTTTATATTGGGTAGTGAACTGTGGGAGGATAAATTTGGTTCTTTGCTTGGCCTTGTTAAAGATTTTATTTTGGATGTTTGGGAGCTAAGAAAGGTTAGGTTATACGGCGATAGTCCCCGCGTACAACAAACCCAGTCTCAGATTGCGTCTGGGGAGCTGCAGGGTGTCGCTGGTGGAAGGGGTGAGTTGAGGTGTCTGGGAGGTGAGACAGACACCTCATGTTCATATGGTGTATGTTCGTTTGTTAACGGTTCCGCCCATTGCTCTGGGTGCGTGGTCTATGGCCCTAGTGCTATGGCAGCCACCTGAGTATTATTATTATTATTGTGATTGAGCTGTTAAGCGTTTCTGCAGGATGGTGAAAAAGGAGCAGGATTTGGCAGTGGAGAGCTCACAGCCAGTTGAACACAAGGACTACAGCCTCAAAGCCGGCCAGAAAATCCAGATTAATCTAGGGGTAAGCCCCTTTACTATGAAACCCAGAAACTAATAGGGATGGGTCCCAATGGTACAGGTCCCTCTCTTTCTATGATACTCCACTTTCAAGGTTTACTGCTCTGCTGTCGTATGTATATACAGTTGAGTCTCGTTATAATGAATTACTGGGGACCTAAAGGATTTGTTCACAGTAAGGGGAATTTGTCGTAAGTGTGGCGAAAATGTACAGTGTTCTATAGGGCTAGGCTCTGAGGGTGTGTTTGTAGAAGTTCGTACTAAGGGTGTTCTCTATAATGAGACTCCACTGTACTGTGTATTGTTAGCTATAGTTTCAGGCCATTGGATATGTGACTATAATAATTATAGGAGGTAGACCAATTATGATTACAACATTACCTTAATTTGGGTACATCCGCCAATGTGGTTCATGTGCACCCCTGTGCTACATTATAAGTTGTTGAATTTCCTCTTGCAAGCTTGTTTTATGTCAATACCTAATGTGTTGTTGAGTTAGAGAACTAACTGCCTGTCGTGTTGTGGATTCGAGTCCCATGGACAGCTAAGGAATTGTGGGGCTTTTATAGTTGTACGTAATGAAGCCACTGGCTGATGTCTACATGCCTTGGTTACATTATGTTTCATGCATACTTGCTCGCTTGTCCTCTCCAGAAAAAGGTCCTGCAGAAAGATGAAGAAGAGAAAAGCGGGCCCAAACAGTCATTGATAGGTATGCTGCAGCCCCTTCTGATTGGACTGAAGAAAAACTTCCTTGTTTGGGAGGATTTCTTCCTTGTTTGGGTTCAATATTGCATCCAAGAACCGTTCTTGGGGAAAGGTGTCCCTTATCAGAGAGGTCCTCATTTCAGGGGTGTCCCTTTTGACTTAGTATAATTATAGAGGTCTCCTATCAGATTGTGCATGGGGAGCTGCTAAGTGCTCAAACGTGTGGGCATGATGCAGAATAACCCATGTCATCCCTACAGTACTTAGTGATTGATTTAGTGAGGACTGGTTTGTTTGATGCAGGTTTGAGTGCCAGTGGAGGTCTTCTCCCACCTCCAGCTGGAGCGACTCCGGCCCCTCGTACCCTCCAGTCCGCCCCTGCACCTGCTCACAATTCACAATCAACACAGAGCAAGTCAGATGACTGGGGTGACTTTTCAGTCTTTGAGTGAGTCACAATGCATTGCAAAATATATGAAGCGTGCCTTGGAGTGAGTCTCAATACTATATACCCTAATGCACCTTGGAGTGGGTCTCCATGTGTTATGCAAAGGGACTTTACAGTGAGTCTTAAATCTCCAAAGTGTTGTGTACCCAAACTTTACCTTGGAAGTACACCCTGACATGGCACTGTACTGTCTGGCATGTTATGTTCATTCTTATTAACACCTTGGCATGCATGCATCTGACAAGTGGTGCTCAAGTGTCAGTCTTTACTGCTCTGGCAGCCATACTGTACATCACTAGTACAAGAGAAAACCCTTATAAACTCCTTTTAGACCCGGACACTTTGAACCGGTTCATAAACCAGTTAGCCTAAACCGGTTTACGTGTGGTTCGTAATGTGACGCCAATCACTTGCACTATAGTCCCTTTTTCAATCTCTTACTACCTAGTATAATAATTATACACAAAACTGCCTAAACTTCACACTCTGATGCATGATGACAAGTAATGTACGGTATGAGAATCTTTGCTATATTATAGTATGCATAGAACATGCACATTGATTCTTACACAGCTCTTCTAGCAAACCAAAGAGCTCGGGTGAAGGGAGTGGATGGGTACAATTTTAACTTTCTTTACTCCACCACATAATAATTATGTTCTGTATTATACGTACTACTATGACTTTTATTGGTGTGAATAGTTCTGTTGTATAAATCATTTACAACTGTAATGGGTTCAAAATAATATTATTTTCTGACATAGAATGTGGAGGGTACTGTTACACCTGTGTCTCATATTATTATACATGTATTGTGAGGGTTAAAAAGTAAGAGTGGTTGAGAGGATTACATAATGGTCGACCAATCAAATTCATCGTCGTCATTTCCGAACGGATCCATGGGGTGTGTAGCAGTGGTGTGGTCTCCACCTTTTGTTTGCATCTCCATGCCTTGTCTAATGAAAGTGGCCGAAGAAGGACGGAGAAATTTGAACTCTCTTCTCTCGTCGTGTGTACCACCGGATGAGGGAAATAGCTGCGTCGTGTGCGCGTTGTCGGAGACAAAGTGATGCGGTGCTACGTGCGCCCTGCTACTAGGACGAGTCGGGGACGCTGGATCTATAGCCAGGTGTTGGGAGCAGTAATTGGAAGACGGTGGGGAGGTCCCTGAGATTGGGAACAATTCCGGGTTCTCTGGGTAAGTAGGTGTGAGTGAGTCGACCAGTGGTTGAGCTGCACTGCCTCCAGATCCGGGGATGTTAGGCTGGTAGTCTTCAAGATCGGCAACATTGTGGTCCCTCCCTACGCTCTCGTCACCGGACGAATCAGACACGAACCTGCAGCTGAGCTGCTGCAGAAACTGCCCAAACGAGGAAGAAACGCGGGAGTAGGACTCGTCGTTGAGCCCGAGTCGATGTCGGTCTCGCTCGACTGCCTTGAAAGACTGCATAAGACTGTGGACTTGCTCAGGCTCTAGCTTGTCCCAACTGTTACTCTCAGCTATGTCCCTGAAACTGTCCATGAGCGTGTAGAAATGTGGGCAGTAGTTAGATGCGCTGTCTGTCGGGCCAGCAATACTGGTACCTGGCAGAGACAGTGCAGAACCACCGAGTGGGATAGTTGTATCAGAAGTGCCCAGGTCTGTTAGAACGGATGGGGGAAGAGGCGGAGGGTTCAAGTATTCACCGCTGGACACAGAGTGACCAAAGATTGACTTGTACAGACTCTTGAACGAGGAGCTGAGGGGATCGGCAACCACGTCCTCCCCGAATGGGTTGGACGAATCATCCAGGGAGGATAGTGGGTGTCTGTCCCCCAGTGAGAGTGTGAGGTCATAGTCTGAAGAAGTACGGTAAAACAAAGATAACAGGTCTATATATTAAGCTCCTAAAGTACCCAGTAACTGTCACATGGGTAATCTGTAACTTTGGTAAATAAGCCAACACAGTGAAACCTCTGAATAAGGTCCCTTACTCATATCAGGCAGAATAATAGAGCTGTGTCCTTTATTTGTAGGGTCATTTTTCTGAGGTTCACTGCACCTATTTTGAATCTGCCTTCAGAGGGTAACTTGTGCACATAGCTTGCATATTATATGTATGTAATTTTCAATATCACCTCTAAGAGAAGTAACTAACAAGTAAGTAAAAATAGTAACTCTTACTGTAGGTTGTAGTGGTAGGGTAGACGGTGGAGTCCTGCTTGACCCGCTTGGTCGAGCGTCTAGCATTCCTGCTGTTGATCTGGGCCAGGGTTGGAGCGAGGGCACTACTGGCTCTCAAGTCTATAGTGATGCTGGCACCTTCCCTTCTTGTCTCGTGGTAGCTTTCCTCTTGCTGCGTGAATGGTATACAGTCACTATTTTCTCCCCATAATACCCCAGGTATATAGCACATTAACTTGAGCTCTCTGTACTATTAACTTGTGATAGTGATCTAGCATTACGAACAAAGTGTATTAATACCACCCCTACTCTACACCAAACTGCTCAGTTAAAACAGCCAAATTTTCACTTATGAAAGAGGTTGCATATACATACTTCCTACAACTCCCCAAATCTACAAGGAAAGACATATTAGTGCTGTGCAGCAATGAAAATCTTATACTCTCACGGATAAACTAGTACGTATGATACTATTCATTGGAGTGTGTCTACAGAGCAGCAAGTGATGCCATGAATGTGCTACTAACAGGCAAGAAATGGGTGAGTCAGCACACTGTCAAAAAGATTCAGGAAAGGCGGTGGGGTGGCAATGTGTAGATATTCAACATTACTGTGTACTGCCTATACACTTTGTTTCAGATTGGAACATGCAAAACGCAGAGTAATTCTATTAAACAGGCAAACCTTTTCACTGCTTTTTCTCTTTCTCGGGAATCCAGAGAGTGAAATGGAACTTCCACTTTCCTCCAGTGGTGTTGGGTCAGTTTCCCAGTAGGAACCCTATGTACAATACATGATGGGTTGCTTTAGCATGCAACTAACACTTGAATTCTCGCCTACAAGAGTTCTCACAGCCACTAACTACTAGGCCTGTTGCAGATAGCGTGTTGTTTGTATTAGCCTACATACTAGCTTAAAATAATTATGCATGCAATACAAACTGGATTACGACGTGGCTTTTATCAATATTGTAGATGCATGCATTATTATGACCTGCAATGTGCGTACCTTTCCAGGGTCATCTTTCGGCCGAGGAACCTTTCGAAAACACTTGTTCAGTGACAGATTGTGTCTGATAGAATTCTATGGGGATGAAAAGGCAAAATACACGCGCGCGTAAACTATCATCTACTGCATGCGCGTAAAAAAACGGGGCGGGGCACATCAAGTCGCGACCGAAAGCGAGGCGTGTCCATATATCCTCTAGCTCTTACCCATAGCTACATACACCTCCCACGACCCTTCACAGAGACATTCACGCTCTCATACTAACAATACTCACCTTCCAGCCCGACCCTGCTTGATTATAGAAGGGGAAATTGTGTGTTATCCAAGTGTATATTCCGTTCAGCGTCATCCGTCTCTCAGGCGCACTGTTGATGGCGAATGTTATGAGCGTAGCGTAGGAGAAGGGCGGTTTTGTAGCGGTGATCTGGTAGGTCCGGGCATCTCTGGGGTTCAGGCGGGCTGTCAGGTCGATGGGACTCGGGGGAGGCTTCCTAGTCTGCCCCCTACCGCCGCCCCCGGTCTGCTGCTGGCGGTTGTTCGAAGACGAGTCCGCCGAAGAGCTCTTCATCTGCGAGAGCCAGTCGATGGTCGTTAGACTGCTTTCCAGCGCTGCCGTCATGTCAGTTACGCGTCAGCGAAGACGGGAAGAGGGGCAAGTACACACCTCCGCAGAAAGCGAACCGTTCGCAGATAGTCTGCAGTATTCGTTACTAGGTTACTCTCGTAAATATACGATGACGACGGATGATAACGCACTGGTAGTGCTACAATACTGTGCTTTTAGTTAGAGCTATATACCTTCCATAAGAATGCAAGTCACTGCATATTATCGATCGACCTAGTTGTTTGTCAAGTTAAGTATTCACTGATTTGCAGTATCAATCTCTAGGGTCTTAGTGCATCCTACACACACTACCCTGTAGGCAGTGACAGATGGAGGGCGGGTCACACGGCAATGAATATTTCCAACACTCCAAGTATGCTTGGCATGCATGTAGAGAAAGTATGAATTGCCAGAGCTTCGGTAATCTCAACTCACACTCACAAGCTAAGTTATACGTCAGTCATCAACGAGGTTGAAGGCAAACCAAACATGAACTAGTGATAATGCTGCATTAGAATGTATTAGAATGCCTACATTATGAAAATGGTAATGGCCCTACATTTTTTCATAAGTTATTTTGTGTCCACAATCCTCACAGGTTTTTGACCATGAGTCTGTCTCTGGGCAATAGATTTCACTTGAGAATACGTGTTCATGAGCTCTTGACTGGGTAGACACTGCACTAGATCTTACTGCCTTCCTCAGTTCTATGGAATCAGTATAATGCACAGTCTTTCAATAGGGGAGCAAAGTAAGCCCACCTATGTATTATCACGATCGTAAATACAATTGCAATTTCGAACCTGCATTCGTTTGCAAGCATTGCAGTAGTAAAGATAGTCCTTAGATGTATATATAGCTCACTCTGAATTTCCTTGACATATTTCTTCTCCCTCTTCTTTTCTCGGGCTTCTGTCTTTCTCTCTCTCTCCTCCTCTAACCCCTCTTCACCTCCCCACACCCCGTGAGCTCTGGCCTCTACCTGCAGTATAGCCACATCATTATGTACAATATACTACTCAAAGGAAACTGTAAGGTTATGGTATGAGCTGCCTGTAAAATTGAAAAATGGCATAAACAGAATAGCAACCTTCCATAGCCAAAGATGAATGTCTGCTGCACAAGTACAGCTGAGAGTCACAAGAGTTCTTACTTTATAGTCCAAACGTGTGCGTTTTTTATCTTACTACACTTGACTCAATTACTTCCTAGAAGTTTCTAAGAAAGTTATATATACCTGGACGGCCAAGTAGAGGTGCATGTCAGTTCGATAGGAGCCGTGCGGGTTTCTTTTGAGAATGAAGGGTAAAGGCTCTCCACCTCTCTCTCCAAAATCACACTCCTTCAGTAGGTACCTCTGCCAATAAATATACTCGTTGAGTTACAATAGAGACACAGACGTATATACCAAGCAATGTGCTATGTGGTACGTATTAAATACCATACACTTTTTGTTTTGTTAGCTACCTGTTTTGCTTCCGTTTTAGTTATCAAAGTATGCTTTTCTTTTGGGTCCCTGAAAAGGAACAAAACATGTTAGAATTTATAATGGTGACAGGGGACACGACCAACCAGTTGCAACCCTCAGAGGTAATCTGGTGGCCTAAACTTTTCGTACTTTTAGCAAGCAAGTTGAGGGAAGTACAGGGCAACCAGCCATCTTGAATAGCTTGACTATAGTTGGAGTGTGCAGTTCAGAAAATGGAGTGGCCTAAACTGTTCGTACTTTTAGCCGGCAAGTGAAGGGAAGGAAGGCCAACCAATAGCTTTGACTATAGCTGGAGTGTGCAGTGTGATAGGGTGGCCTAAACTTTTCGTACTTTTAGCAAGCAAGTGGGGGGGAAGGGCAAGCCAACTAACTATTCTTAAGAGCTTGACAGTAGCTGAAGAGTGCAGTGGATAGAGACTGAGAAACTACTTGGGAAGCCTACAACTGAAAATCACTCTAGAATTTTCGCACTTTTACACTCAGATTTACAGCCAAAATACATACATACACAGGATGAATGGTTGGTCTGTACTTCCCTTACTTGGTTTGGCCTGCCTGCCAATGTGTATATACCTGCATTGATCGCAAACGCTGAAACTGAACTTGCTGAAGAGAAAAGACTCTGCAAATCTTTTCCTGCACTCGATGCACATCATCCGTTCATCTGGCAGAGCTGGGGCTGTAAAAAAAAGTCGATAAAAAGTTAATCTAGACAATGTATACATACTACAACCATTAAGTAGTCTCCATACAGTGTAGGAAGAAGGAAGAGTATGGTGCCCGCATGGATATTACACACACTATGGAAGGCCGAGATGCCCAAATGTAAACTTGACTGATGCGCTTTTAACTGACCAAACTGGGGCGTTGCTACCTCACTTCTGTATAGGAAGTGCTTTACCAGCCTGAAGAGCAGTATTGATGCTGTGAGACCTGTCTCTACCTATTAACACTGTGCATGCATCAAATCCATTTGCACGGGCCAACGAAATGTTGGGGAACCAGTTCCCCAAGCCCCTTTGATTTCTACACCACTAACTGACCGTCATCTTCCACAGTTTTTAAACCTCTGCCTCCCACTGTGGCCCCCTGCTCCTCATCTTCCTCAAGCAGGAACCCTCCACCTGTATCTCTCCCAGCCGAGCTCTTTGAACACACTCCACTCACCCATGACTCCAGCTTCCTTCTCTCCTCTTCTCTCCTCTGACCTGGATTCTCAAATGTCATAATATCATAGTCACTGGTGTGCTATGCATCTAATCTTGCACCCAGGTAAACAAAGCATAAGAAAGATTATTACCTACTACAGGGAAGAAAAGTATCGGGTGTTACCATAATTCTACGTAGTCTACAGTACGGCTACAGACACACTGAAAGCTACTGACTACTGTACAGTTCCAACCTGGGGTCACGTGGGGTTGTTGTCGTCGAGTTGTCAGGTCGTAGGGTTTTGACTGAAGTCGAGCCTGACGTATCGACTTTGCTCTCTCTCTGTTTCGTTTTATTCGCTCCAACTGGCTGGGGGAAAGACTGGGAGTCGCCTCCCTGACGTCGCTGCAACAGTCTTCGCTCATCTTTGTTTACGAGCGCGTGGTTTACCGCTCAGAATCAATGGGGTTAAATGGGTAAGGGGGTGGGACCAAAATCCCAATGGGTCAGCCGACGGCTCTCGCCGACGTTTGTTAATACTTCTTCCTTCTATTAGTAGATGTTGGTAGGTCTTTTGTAGTGTTCGAAACTGCATCTGCAATCATTTTATCAACGATTCGGTCATTCTCGCGGAGAGAGCGGGTGGGCACGCTCACGTGTTTTCAGTTTTAACCCGTAAATCACTGAATTAGGACACGATATCAAATGGCAAGGGATGGTGGGCATTTATCGTTCCAGGTGAGCATACACAACCCTTTGAGCTATTCAAGAACTACCCAATTATGTTGTGTGTTCCCTTCTTCTACTGCAAAGGTTCCTGTCCTTAGTGATTGTGATACTGTTCACCACTATGGTCCAAGTGTTTGTGTGGGTGGCCTTCAGCTCACTGTACCTACCAGACCCTTCCACCAGTCATAGCCTCAACACTGACAGAATGGACAGAGACAAAGAGTGCAAGTGTCCCACAAGAGACCCAGAATCAGAGACCTGTGCTCCTCCGAAAACAGAAGAAGTCGGAAGAGACGAAGGTGATAGGGAACAACGCATGGATATTGATGACGATAGGGACTACCTTGAGGGACTGGGAGTGTTGAAAGACTCACAGCACTACCTACTGGTCGCACTGGTACTCTCAGGGCCCGACTCCAAGAGCCGAGAGAGACGGGACACGATTCGGGAGACGTGGAAAACCTACTCCAACCCAACGGAAGAGCCGGCCATTCTAGTCTTGTTTGTGATGGGGACATTTGAGCTAAGTGCTCCTCAGTTAGAGTCAGTGACACACGAGAATCAGCAGCACCACGACTTAGTACTACTTCCAAACCTGAAGGAGTCTTACTATAACCTCACGCTAAAGGTGCTTCAAGCTTTTGTGTGGGCGGATCAAAACTTGAGATTTTCTTACCTCTTGAAATGCGACGACGATTCGTTTGTGATGCTGCACCAGATTGCAGACGAGCTGTCAGAGCGAACGTCGACACAGAGTTACTATTGGGGGTTTTTCGACGGTCGAGCCACACCTAAAAAGGGTGGGAAATACATCGAGAAAGAGTGGTTTTTGTGTGACCGCTACCTACCGTATGCCCTCGGCGGTGGGTACGTAGTGTCGGCTGATTTAGTACACAAAGTTGCCCTCATGTCGGACGGTGTTCGCCTGTACAACAACGAGGACACCTCCTTGGGGGTGTGGCTTAGTCCATTTAGAGCCGAACGGCGGCACGACTCGCGATTCGACACGGAATTCAAATCCAGAGGATGTCGCAATAACTATCTCGTCACTCACAAGCAGTCGCCTGGCGAAATGCGAACAAAACACGAACTTCTGCAGAGTAAAGGAATGATATGCGAACAAGAGACGGCTGTAAGGAAAGCATACGAGTACAATTGGTTGGTTGAACCATCAAAGTGCTGTCAGCGTAAATAGCACAAAATTATAATTATCCAGGAATACATGGTCTATCTACAGATGTCTGCATTAAATCAAAAGTCAGGTCTTATAATAATATTTTGCACAGCTATATTATACATGACAATAATACTATACAGCAAATAAAAATGTAATTATTGTCCATTCTCTGCCAATAAAAATTGCATAATAATATCCTCTATAGATTTATATATGTACAAAAAGAAAGGCTTAAGAAAAGGCGCAGCTTATTGTGTAATAGAAGACTAGTGGGTATAAGGAGCTGTGGGCAGAAGAGATGCTTTCTTGAGGCAATCCCACACCCATTCTGGCTTGACAGAGGTTGTAGCAGATGTAGACTGGGAGGGGAAAAGCACACTAAGGCAAACTTTCTTGATTTACTGTGTGAGCAAATAATGTGTTGCTTATGCGATGTATGTATGTACTGGGAAGCTTACACTGGCAGTGTCCATGATATAGTAATCCGCTGAAGACTTGTGGTATTCGTCCACAACTTCCCCATCATACCTGAACAAAGCGTAAACCCACCATAAACTATTAACCAAACAAAGTCTCAATTCATTGCTGCTTACGACACAAAGTATCTTCTCAGATCCTCGGCCTTGCTAACACTAGGGTCAATGTACACTGTCACTCCTGTAAAGATGTCGGCCAGTGGCTGCATGAAAATGAATGAAACAAAGTAAGGTAGTGGCAATGAACATGCAAGACTTGATAGCAACTGTTTACTTCTTTTTGCTCTTTTGTGGTTTGGGAAAATTAAATGGCGTATATATACCTGGCTAGGAAAACATTCGGAAATGCACTTTCAAAATGTCACCTAATGTATATACTATTTATGAACACACCGACTGCAACATCAATGTGCCAAATACATGGTAAACCTCAGTTCGTACGTACCTTTGGGATTGCGACACCAGCACACTTGTGTTGTCCCAAGACGTTCCTAAAAGACAACACAAATCTTGTCTCAAGCGACATAATTATTTTGACGAATCAACACTTACCCAGGGGTGGTCATATGCTTCTTTATGCTCCCGATTGGTTTTGTTGCATTTGGGCCCGTACTCACACATTGGCCTTTTCCCCTCTTAACCACCGGTGACGCCATTTCTCGCTCGTCTTTCTCTCTCTCCTGTCTGGGTCTCTTAGATCCAGCCAACTTGGATGGTGATTTCCTAGACTTTGAGGAAGGAGACTTCGTTGTGGCTGCTTCTTGATTGGAGATTTCTTGGGGGTCTTTGCGGGTGAGCTGGTGGGAGGCTTAGTGTCCATCGCTTCTTCTTCTTCGTCTTCTTCAGTGTCCCCCTCGTCCGCTCCGTTTTCATCACTCTTTCCCCCGCCACTACCCGTCAATCCAGGGATGTCTGCGGATATTATAGAAGAGCTTGTAGAGCACAATTCATGCTTATAGAACATAAGGTTCGACTTCGAATATATATTGCCATGTACGTATCACCCTTAAAAGCTAACTGTATAATTATATAGCACCCTCAAAGGCATACTGTGGAATCCTAACATGGAAGTGTGCAGTGCTGCAACTCCAAAAATCTATACACCATGCTAAATATCCACAGAGCGTATGATATTAAGTGGTATATAACCACTTTAATATTTCTAGGCACGCAGCAAACCTGTTGTCTCTTTAGAAGCCTTGAAGAGTGTCTAGAGAAAGGAAGGAGGAAACTGTATGTAGCATACATAGATACACAGCAGAAAATATATCAGGATTAAAAAGTGCAAAATTTCACGTTTAAGGAGCAACATATTGAGCATATGTAGCCAGAAAAGCATCCTGTATGTGTCAAATCTTCAGTTCCCCTCAATCTTCTGGGTATATGGTAGAGTAGAATAGAGAGACCTTGAGTCTTTCCAGGTCTGTAGCGTTTGTCCAATCTTTGTCGTCTCGTATCCTCGTGACACGAGGAAACCTGATGGAAATGCCGCCCGCGGTGTGGGCAGTGGACTTGCTGAATTCAGCTCCCGTGATCTCCCACACCGGAGCGGCCTGATCAGCAGTGAGTGAGAGGAGGGGGAGAGAGTGAAGAAATGTGAATTCACAATGCCTGGTGCAATAATCACAGCCCTCCCTCCCCCACCCCAAACACTGTATCTTACTACACACATGTGTACACATGGGTTTGCAGCGCAGTTGGCACAGCAGTGGAGGAGGTGCAACCAGAAAATAAATCTTACTCTATACGTACATACCTTTGGATCCCTCACTACAAAATCAGGAATGACCGTCTTGTTCACCAGCAACCAAGCAGGAACTTTTGAAGGATCCTGAAACAATACACCATTTGGAAGGGACCTATATAAGTGTAGTGGATTCACTCCAGATTTATTTACTGATGCAGAGCATCATCATGCCGCAGAGAAAGTTGACAAAGAATGGTGCGAAATTGCTCTATGGAGAATAAGAACATGACAAAAGGAAACTAAGTGTCCATATTAGTGAGTTGTCCTTATTGCATGTAAGAGATGTGCTTGGGGAAAGGCTTATTAGAAGGGTGACCTTAGAGAGAGGTTTTACCAAGGTCTGTTAAATTTTGCCAGTAAATTACTTGACGAGCTGTAGTTCTTCTCATATACATTTACCTTGCTAATCTTGACCATGTCCAACTCAGTCTGGAGTTTTTCAATTTTGGCGTCGTCATGTCCGTTCCCACACTTAGCAACGGTACGGAATCGATCACAGGACTTGTCGTATACGCCCATCAGAAACACTGACATCATCCCACCTGAACGATATAATAGGAGAGAGGGGAGGAGGGGTAGGGCCAGTGGTCTCTTAATATAGCTGAGAGAGGGGAGGAGGGGTACGGGCCAGTGGTCTCTTAATATAGCTGAGAGAGGGGAGGAGGGGTAGGGGCCAGTGGTCTCTTAATATAGCTGAGAGAGGGGAGGAGGGGTAGGGGTCAGTGGTCTCTTAATATAGCTCCCTACATACGTACTTAAGCATAGCAAGTACGACTACGTTTGAAGATGCATGCTACGCACGTGCCATTTGTGAAACTGCAAGTCATGGATAACTCAGTTTGGAATGGTGAAGTGCTTAGAACTAGAGAACTTGAGAATGAGAGTATTGTTTCTCATGCTATTGGATGCAGTACAGTATAATTGCCGAGCGCATTAGTGTGAGGCAACTACTCCGGGTTGTATTGTTTCTCATGCTATTGGATACAGTACAGTATAATTGCCGAGCGCGTTAGGCAACTACTCCGGGTTGTATTGTTTCTCATGCTATTGGATACAGTACAGTATAATTGCCGAGCGCGTTAGGCAAACTATCGGGTTGTATTGTTTCTCATGCTATTGGATACAGTACAGTATAATTGCCGAGCGCGTTAGGCAACTACTCCGGTTTATTGTTTCTCATGCTATGGATACAGTACAGTATAATTGCCGAGCGCGTTAGGCAACTACTCCGGGTTGTATTGTTTCTCATGCTATTGGATACAGTACAGTATAATTGCCGAGCGCGTTAGGCAACTACTCCGGGTTGTATTGTTTCTCATGCTATTGGATACAGTACAGTATAATTGCCGAGCGCGTTAGGCAACTACTCCGGGTTGTATTGTTTCTCATGCTATTGGATACAGTACAGTATAATTGGCCGAGCGCGTAGGCAACTACTCCGGATGTATTGTTTCTCATGCTATTGATACAGTACAGTATAATTGCCGAGCGCGTTAGGCAACTACTCCGGGTTGTATTCTAGCGATATGCGTACTACGTACGCACGTACGTGTCGTCATGCTTAAGAATGTAAATTAGTCACACACTTAGGAATGTAAACTTCC